TTCCGGTTACTCGGAAGGCTGAGACGGAAGGATCGCTGGAGCCCAGCAGGCGAGGCTGCGGTGGCCGGAAGCGGTCACTGCACTCCAGTCTGGGCGACCGAGTGAGACTCCAACTCAAAAAAAAAAAAAAAAAATCTTAATTAAGGTACATACATTGCTTTTTAGACATAATATTACTGCATACTTAACAGACTATAGTAGAGTAAAAATATAACTTGTATATATGCACTTGGAAGCCACACAGTTTGTGTGACTCACCTTATTGGGATATTAACTTTAGGTGGTCTGGACCCAAACTTGCAATATCTCTGTGGTATGCCTGTATATCTTTATGTTTAAAAAGCTAGATGGGGAAAAGTGCATATTTTATTTATTTATTTATGAGTTAGGGTTTCACTCTGTCACCCAGGCTGGAGTGCAGTGGCACAATCACAGCTCACTGCAATCTTGAACTCATAGGCTCAAGTGACCCTCCTGCATCAGTCTCCTGAGTAGCTCAGACTACAGGCACATACCACCACACCTGGCTAATTAAAAAAAAAAAATTTTGTGGGCCGGGCTCGGTGGCTCAGCCTGTAACCCCAGCACTTTGGGAGGCTGAGGCGAGAGGATTGCCTGAGCCCAAGGGTTCGAGACCCACCTGGGGAACTTGGCGAGACCTCGTCTCTACAATAAATAAAAAACTAGCCGGGCGTGGTAGCGCATGCCTGTAGTTCTGGCTGCTTGGAAGGCTGAGGCGGAAGGATCGCCGGAGCCCAGTGGGTCAAGGCTGCAGTGGTCAGGAGCATGCCACTGCCCTTCAGCCTGGGTGAACCCTCGGGTTCAGGCCTGAGCCCGAGCACAAGTACAAAGAATCAAACAAGCACATTAAAAATGCAACACAACACCCCGACTTGAACAAAGTGTCCTTAAACCGGCATTCATAGATATGAATATTTCCAATTCAGAATTGAAAAACTTAAAACAGAAATGGACCAAAAAATCAAGACGTGAAATGGGACACTGACAGAACGAAGGGGAATGGGAAATACAGAAATGTAGATCAAATGACAAGCATGGGAGAACAAATTCGACTGAAAACATAACAACGGCATAAAAAAAGATATGAAAACCCACTGGGTGCGGTGGTTCACGCCTATAATTCCCATGATTTGGGAGGCTGAAGCAGGGGGATCATTTGAGGCAAAGAGCTCAAGACCAGCTTCAACATCATACTGAGACCCTCACTTCTACAAAAAATAATTAGCTGGGTGATGCACCTGTAGTCCCAGCTACGTAAGAGGCTGAGGCAGGAGGATTGTTTGAGCCCAGGAGTTCCAGGCCACTGCACTCCAGCCTGGGCAACAAAGCAAGACCTTAACTATAAAAAAAAAGAAGTATGAAAATAGCCAAGGGGAAAAAAAAAAGAGGTTAAAAAGAAACAATGTATCAGCTTTATGCTTTGGCGAGCTCCTCTGGCTGCTGGTGTCCTGGTGGAGGCACCCTGTAGATGGCCAAGCAAAAGGAGGCTCAGAAGGAGGCATGGTGACCCTCAGGGAGGGAAGCACGGGACTCCTTGCCCCAACCCCACCTCCAGCCACAACCACACTCTTTCTGTTCCTAGACGTGCTGACCTCACTCCTGCGTCAGGCTCTGCTCGATGCTCACATCACCTCAGGGCTGGCTCTCTCTCTCTCAGGTCCCCCTAGGAATCTCCACCCCCTCAAGAACCTCCCTGTCCCCCACCAGTGATCACCCCAGGTACTTTTGGGCTCTGGTAACCTTCTTCTTCCCGATGTGGGTACTGGTTTTCTGGGTACAATCACTTTGTGGAGATGAACCCAGGCATGCCTTTGTGATGTGTGCACTTAGCCAGCCACAAGAATGAAAACTCTGCCAAGGTATTCCCTCCATAGTGCTGATTACCCCGATATTCTCTTATTTCTCCCCTCTGCTATTTATTGCATACACACACCCACTGAGAGGTCAGCTCCACAGGAGCAGGGGCATATCTGTCGCTGTGACCACTGTGCCACCAGCATCAGAACAGAGTGCAACACACAGCAGGCACTTAGTAAATGATTGCATGAAGCATGGAAGGATGCTGGCCGGGTGCAGTGGCCCATGCCTGTAATCCCAGCACTTTGGGAGGCCAAAGTGAAAGGACTGCTTGAGCCCAGGAATTCGAGACCTCGTCTCTATGCAAATCAAAAAATAAGGTGGACATGGTGTTACGAGCCTGTAGTCAAAGCTACTCGGGAGGCTGCGGTGGAAGAATCACCTGAGCAGAGGAGGTCGAGGCTTAGGTGAGCCGTGGTCATGCCACTGCACTCCAGCCTGGGCAACAGAGTGAATCTGACTCAAAAAAAAAAAAAAGGATGGAGGACGTCTGCCTGCCCGCAGGATGTAGCGATGCCCGGGTTGGGGGTTCTCCCCTCTTTGGGCAGACAGGAGTGGGGGCTGCCCCGAGGGCCTCACCTTCCTCTGCATCTTCTCCAGCAGCTTGCTCTTGGCCCTCACTTCCTCCTGGATGGAGTCGTAGACGTTGAGGAGCACCCAGTCCCCGCTGTCCTCGTCTGCGTTCTGCAAGGCGGCTACCAGCTGCTGCTTGCGCTCATCTGCGTAGCGCTTCCGCCATTTGTGCTTTTCCCTCAGGTCCTTGTTCTTGGCCTGCTCTCCTCCCACCACCTGCTGCTCCAGCAGCTGCAAACTGCCGGTGCGGAGGAGAAAGTGAACGTGACAGTACCTGTCCATCGCTGACACTTGCCACCCAGCAGGCTCCAGGCTAAGCTTGGTCCCACCAAATCCTTCCAGCAGCCCACTTCACAGGGAGGGAGACCAAGGCTGGGAGAGGACCCACTGCTTGCTCAGGGTCAGGACCAGGATTCCTACCAGACCCGCCCAATCCATGCCTGTGCACTCGACCCATGCAGGAGGTCTGCCCATCAGTCAGGGAGGAAAGCTAATCCATCCCTGGCCCATCTACTTCCCAATGCCAGTGGTCCCTGCAGCTGAACAGGCCTGGGTCTGTGCTCAGGGGCAGCCAGCATGATTAGAATAACCCGGGTTGTGAAAAATGTTCATTCAACACACTCAGTGCACAGTGTTTAATCAGGCAGGGACACACACAATGCTTGTTGAAAATGTTTCTATCCAGCCAGGCACGGTGGCCCACACCTTTAATCCCCAAACCTTGGGAGGCCAAGGTGAGAGGATTGCCTGAGTCCAGGGGTTCGAGACCAGACTGGGCAACTTGGTGAGACCTCTTCTCTACAATTAAAAAAAAAATTAGCTGGGCATGGTGGCCCATGCCTATAGTTCCAGCTACTTGGAAGACTGAGGCAGAAGGATCACCTGAGCCCAGCAGGTGGAAGCTGTGGTAACTGAGTGTGCCACTGCATTCCAGCCTGCACAAAAGAGTGAGACTCCAACTCAAAAAAAAAAAATTCTATCCAAATGCTAAAAAATGTTTAGAACTCTGCCTTTTAAAGGAACAACTGTTAAATAACTACAGAGAAAGGCTTATGTGGAACTCCCCAATATTGAATGAGGCCCCATGAAAATGTCTCAGCCCCTGCCTCTTCCCAGAGGGATGGAGGGAGCTGGTCTGAGGCGTTCTCAGGTTTCATAAAAGGAGAGAGATTTACTCAAGGAAAAGAAGGCGCCGTCACCTGAGTAGCCAGGCTCTGACTCGGCAGAGCAGAAGGGCAAGCAGAAGGGAGCTGTGTCCATGTCACTCCTCCATTTAAAATCCTGCAGTAGGCACCGTGGGAAAGAAGCCCAAGTACCCAAGGAGGGCATGCAGGGCGCCCCCATCCTGTCTCCCTCTGCAGCCTGGTGCCTTCTGCTCACTCTAACTGGAGCTCGCTGTCACACCTCCCAACACCCAGGCCGTCTCCCACCTCCATGCCCTTGCAGATGCTGCACTTATGTCTAGAATGCCACCCCTGAGGCATGTGTCTTGCAAAGCTCCTGCAGGGGTCCCCTCTTCTGGGAGGTCTTGCCCAACTTTCACTCCACACACCACATGGTGAAAACAGCCACAACACGTGTCAGTGCTTTCTGTGTACCCATTGCTGGACTGCCACTCCTGCAGGCATTGCCACATTTGATCTCACCCCAAGCTTCTCAGGCTGGGACTTTCACTATCACCCATGTTGTAGATGAGAAGCCAAGGCACAGAGAGGTATAAAGTCCGCCCAAAGTGGCAGAGCTAGTGGAGGAGGCCAGATGGGCCCCACTTACTTCTAACTGCTACAGAACATGGCCTCCCTGGCCTCTGTGCCTGCTTCCCACCCTGGACTGTGGCCCCCGGAAGGCCAAGGCAGCATCTCATTCATCTTGTCATCCTGGTGCCCAGCATGCAGTAGTTGCTCAGTTAATGTTGAACTGTGGCCTCTGGCCTCTCACTGCTGGGAGGAGGCTGAACCCCTGGCTGACTCTGACATGGAGGTAGGACTGACATGATCATCACTGACAGAAGAACCAAGGCTTAGGAAAGTTCAGTGACTTGCACAAAGCTACACAGCGAGTGAGAAAAAGCCCAGCTCCCCAGGCGGTCCTAATAGGTGCCTGGGGGTGTCTTGTCCTAGGGTGAATGAGTCTCACATCAGGGAAAGCACTGGAGGCCAGGAGGTCGGGACCTTGGTTGGGACCTGAGGAAAGCCTGTGTCTCCCTGCCCTGGGATTCCTGAAGCCTGAGGGCCAGGCCCAGTGAAGGCCGTGCAGGCGGCGGGCCCTTCACTTCACTCTCCTGGAGCAGCTGGGAGAAAGGCGCCTGGCTGGACTCTGGTGGCAGCCTGTGTCCCTTCTAGAGCAAATCCCTGCTTGCCTGGCCCCCTGCACTGGCAGAGGAGATCAGGGCTGCCTTGCCATAGGGGGGAGAGCTGGGAAAAAGTATGGGCACCCCCACTCTCGATCCTGGGACACAGCTCCTTCCCACCCCATCACAGGGTCCCGCCATCCCGCTCTGTGCTTACCGGGCCAGCACCTGCTGCTGGTCCATGACGGGCAGCAGGTCATCAGTCAGCACCGCTGTCTCCACGTCCATGCCCACCCTCCTCATACTGGCTGTGGCCAGCAGGGGTTGAGGCTGAGAGGCCACCAGGGCCTCAGCCTCTACCCACATGCCAGGTTCTGCTGCTGACACCACCTCCTCGGCCACTTCCAGATCAGCCTCCTGAGCACAAAGAGAAACCCAGATGGAGGTAGGAGGGCCAGCCCTGGACACAGCTCACAGGAGCTCAGTCCCAGAAGGGGACATCTGGCCACCACAACCCAGGACAGATCACCTTTGGCTGGGAGATACCAGTTATACAAAAATGCAGCAACCTATTTCCACTGACACCCCCAGAACAGTCTCCCAGCTTTCTCTCTCATCCTGCAATTCAGTCTCCACACGGCAGCCAGGGCAAGCTTCTTAAGATATACACCAATTGGCCAGGCTCAGTGGCTCAGTCTGTAATTCCAGCACTTTGAGAGTCCGAGGTGAGTGGATTGCCTGAGCCCACAGGTTGAACACCAGCCTGGGCAACTTGGCAAGCTCTCGTCTTTACAATAAATAAAAAATTAGCCGGGTGTGGTAGTGCACGCCTGTAGTTCCAGCTACTTGGAAGGCTGAGGCGGAAGGATCACTGGAGCCCAGCAGGTTGTCGCTGGGGTGGCCATGAGTGTGCCACTGCACTCCAACCTGGGCAACAGAGTGAGTCTCCAACTAAAAAAAAAAAAATACACCGATCACATCCCTTTCCCCATTCAAACCTTCCCATCATGTTCACCGGAAAGCCCAGGTCCTCCAAGTCTGCTGTACCCTCTGTGCCTGCTCCCTCCTCCCCTGCTATCCCACCACCCTGTCCTCCTTTGCTGTTGCCAGGAAAGTCAAGACCTTTCCAGTCACAGGCATGTGCTGTCCCTTCTGCTTGCTGCTGCCCCAGGCACTCCGTCTTGCCTGGATCACTTTCTAACTCATGGCTGCTCTGGTTACTCCATCTACCACCACTGAGAGCCTGTGTGTGCTCAAGGCCAGACTGTCCTCCTCCATAAATGGAGGCGGAGGGAGTTGTAAAGCCTCTCACTTCCCTGGGCTTGCTTTGCTGTCTCAAGTAGAGGGGTTGAGTCCAAGGGCAAGGGTGTTCAAACTGTTCCACAATCCCACAGGGGTTCCCGAACAGTGCCTCAGGGGCCGCCAACCCAGACCTGCAGCCCTCATGCTCTGCACACGCTGGGCCTCCACTCATTAGACAAAGGGCTCCAAGGCCAAGGGAGGTTTGAAAGTCGCCATCTAGAATGACGGGTCTTATTCACACCCACATAAGAGGGATGACGATCCTCCGATTGTACATCGCCGGGCCCTGGCCGTCTGCTGCAAGCCTATGGAAGGCTAGTCTCGTGGATGAGGAAACGGAGGCCCAGGGAGGGAGGAGGCAAGCTGGAGTTTTGCAGGAAGTAGAACAGAACCAGGTCCTCCCCACAGAGGGTCTAGCCCAGGAAGGTACTCACAGTCCTAGGCAGGAAGTCGTCGGCCACCTCAACTTCGGAGCAGGTGTCACCAGGAGCCAGCTGGTCTGTCAGGGTGGGGTGCTTGGAGGAGACAAGGTGGGGAGGAAGAGGGCTGATTTGAGCTGGAATCATCCCCAAGGGCGCTCACCACCCACAACCTCCTGCCTATTACTGCTGAGAGAAGAGGAGCAAAGGGTGAAGAGCTGAGAGGGAGGAGGGGATATGAGGGGAGGCTGGGCACATTGTGGGCACCTGCTGTGTTCTGGGAGCATCACCTGCAGCATCCAGCTCACGCACACACCAGCACCCCAGAAAGATGACTGCCCAAGATTATACAACTAAGTAAACAGTAGAGCTGTGATCTCTCTCTTTCTCTCTCTCTCTCTCACACACACACACACACACACACACACACACACACACACACACACACACGACAGGATAGGAAAGTAGAGAACAAAGAGGGGAGAAAAAGGAAAATTGTTTAAACAAAGAAGCCAGACAGAGGGGCAGGGTGGAGAGAAAGCAGTAGCCCGGGAGCCCCCGGTGGTCGCTGAAGGGTGGTTGGATTCCCACAGACCCCCACCCACTTACTGCCCCAAGCCCATGAGAGCATAAGGGTTTTCCAAGTCTCCCTCAGCTCCTTCAGGCCTGGAAGCTCATGTAACCATGGCAACTCAGCAAACTCCCTGTACGGGAGTTCTCTCTGCAGAACAGTGCCCGCCCGGCACAACCGTGTAGCTAGACCCCAACGCTCCTATTGATTTACAGAGTGTCAATGGCGATTCTCCTTCCCAGCTCCTGGACACCAGCGACCCTGAGCCAGCCACCAGCACCAGAGCGCGGCTCGAGCAGAAGGGAAAGAGATCCTGTGGCTCTTGTGCATGGTGACTTCCACGCCCCCGAGAGCTCGGTCTGCTCAGTGTTTGGGGCCTCATGCATGACACGGCTACCTGCACAGGGACCTGGGAGACGTCCGCCTGGGGTGCATCTGTCCTGGCCACAGTGGAGCCGAGGAGGCACAGCTTGGCTGCCACCTCGGCGAACGGGTCCAGCAGGCCTGGTATCACCTGTGGGGGCATCTGCTGCGGCCCCTCTTCCTGGAGGCAGTCCTCTTCCTCCAGCTGCCCCTCGGGCACATAGTACCCCACATTGGCGGGCTCCTCAGGTCCCAGGAAGGCCTCAGACACAGAGGTTTCTTCGTGTGTGGATGACTCGCTGGACCCAAGAAGACTCTCAGACTTGGAGGGCTCCACATTGGACAGCTCCTCAAACCTGGAAGAAATCTCTGTCCTGGAGCTGGTGTCACTGGGCAGAGTGTCGGGCATGTAAAAGACCTCGGGTCTCATGACCGTCTCGTACTGGAGAGCAGGCGAGTACTCAGACCTGCGGGCACACTCAGCTGTGGACATGACCTCAGCCTTGTAGAGGACGTCTGCCTTCAGGACAGTCTCTGCAGAATGGAGAACTTCCTTCAGTTGTTTAAAGGGTCACCATGAGGGGACATGTCCCTAGAAGTTGACCCCAAGCCCGCTGTCTCCAAAAGACTAGCTTAAGGGTCAGAGCCTCCCAGGTCTCCCAGAGTCCGGCTGCAGCCAGCCTGCCTCCCCGTCTCTGCCCCATTTCCACCCTCTCCTATCAGGACTCAAAAAAACCTGCTTCCTTCCACCTCTTTCAGGAAGCCCTACCTGACCAGCACCATGATCTCTCTTCTCTGATTTCCCCAGCCACTGGGTGCTGGGCTCTGACCGCCCTGCCTTGGACTGCCCTTCCCCTTTTAGCAGCTGCCCCTGTAGGTCTTACTGCCTTCCAAGGTTGAGCGCTCCTGGTCAGCAGGTTCACTACCCAAGACCCCGAGGTGTCCCCTGGAGGAGACCCAGCCCCGGGCTCTTGTCCACAGGCTATGCTAGATTCATGGAGTTAAATGAACACATGGGCAAATGTTAGAGGCACAAAAACTAAGTAAAGACCACTTGGGGGACTAATATTCAAACTGGACTGGAGGAAACATTCTGAAGGACAGAAAATGCTAGAATCTGCCCCTTCCCTCTTTCTCTGGGGCATCTTGCTCCCAGCTGGGATGGGACCCTTCATGCTCCCAGCTCAGGGGCTCCCGGCCCCTCTCTTACATCCCATCGTGTCTTTACCATCTGCGTCCTGGGCTCCCCCAAGAGGGTCTTGATGTTCCCTTTGTTGAAGCATGACATCCACTCCCTAGGGAGGTGGCCTGAACCTCCCTCAGCTTCGGTTTCCACACCTGTTATGTGAGGGTTCTGGGAGTCCTACCTCACTGGACTGGGAGAGCTCGATGAGGGGATATGAGTAACACACCTACACAGCGTGGCAGGTGTTACACTGAACAGAGTGATCAGTGTCACTATCACTACAAGACTGGGCTTAACATGATTGTCATGAGTGCAGGGAAGTCCGACTGCCCAGGAGCATGGGTGTTTGAAGGAGACTGGTGGGGCAGAGCAACCTAGAAAAGACAAAATAGACAAAAACCTGCAGACAGGTGAAAGTTCTGAGACCTCATTATGGGATGTGGTAACAGAGAGGCTCAGTGGCGGGACTATGGGCAACACAGAACCTCGGAGCGGGGGTTCATCTCTAAAACAAGGGTGATATGCCACAGCTGTAAGTCAGCCTGGATGACTGGGGCCTAGCATTGTGGGAGAGAACACTAGCTCTGGGGCCAGACTGCCTGCACTCAAATGCCTGCACTCAAATCCTGCCTCTACCAGCTGTGGGACCATGGCCAAGTTACTTATCCTCTCTGTGTTTCCTGTATAAAATGAGGGTGATTGTGTTACCTACCTCACTGGACCATTGCAAGGATCAAACAGAACTGAGCCTGGTGGCTAGCAAAATGAGACAGCCAGGGGAAGAGGGTGCCTACCTGCCTCCTTCCTCAGGCTCTCCTCCAGCGTCGACAGCTTCACGTCGTATGAGTTGCGCATAGCAGCGATGTCCTCCTCCAGCCTGGCCCGAGACTCATGCTCAGCCTCGTAGTCAGCCTTCAGCCGAGCCAGGCGCTCTTCGTACTCCTGGGAGCAGACGGAGGGCACCAGGGAGAGGCAGCGTTTACAACCATTTTGAAACACAACCTTCTTTTTCCTTTGTTGTTATTCAAACCTTACAGAACACATAAGCATGCCCAAAGAATCCAGTTATGAAACATCAATAATTGCTTGCTAGCGAAGACTCTTCTGAACTGTCCTCGACACATTTTTCACATGCCAATAACAACACATGTATATGCTTGAACCTATTTTTCCCACACAACAATATATCATGAACACCTTTCTGCATCAGCAAATACCTTTCTACTCAATAGTCCTCAACCCAGCAGTGGTAAAATATATTTTAATTCATCTGCTTTTCTCTCCGTCTTTACTATCACTGCCAGCTTATATTCAAACAGAGCTTGGTCCCCACCTCCATTCTCACTTCTGTTCCAAACCTCTGACCATCAGCCGTACCCATCACACCAGGTTTCTCCTCTGCTTTGGATCTGTTCATGGCATACCATGTTCATGGATAAAGTCTGAGTTCCTCAACTTGACCTGAGTCCCCACGTGATCTGTCCTCCCCTTTGACTGCACTGCATTTTCACTGCATTTGGGATCTCCTAGACACACTTACTTCCTCCCTGCCTTGGGGTCTTTGACCAGTCCCCTAGCAAGTCCCACCCTGGACCTTAGCTTAGTAACGTACCCTCATAGAGTCCTTCCTTGATCACACTCTCAGAAGACCCTGTGGCTACCACTCTGTCACTTCCCCTGTGTGCTAGCACGCATTCTGAGCTTCTGTTATTCTCTTTATTATTGTATGTGTGTGTTCATTTGCTTTTGTTTTTGTTGTTTTGAGTCAGGGTCTCATTCTGTTACCCAGGCTGGAGTGCAGTGGCATGTTCACAGCTCACCACAGGCTCAAACTCCTGTGCTCAGGCAATCTTTCTGCTTCAGTCACCCAAGTAGCTGGGACTATGGTATATGCCACCATACCCAGTTAATGTTTTAATTTTTTGTAGATCCAAGGTCTCACTATGTTGCCCAGGCTAGTGTCAAACTCCTGGCCTCAAGTGATCCTCCCATCTCAGCCTCCCAAAGTGTTGGGTTTACAGGCATGAGCCATTGTACCTGACTGCATTTGTTTTTATTGGGGTAGAGGACACAGGTTGGGAAATGTCACCATACTCCCCCCTCCACCCCAGGTAATGTCCATTCCGATCTTCTTGGAATGGTTTGTGGAACTTTTCTTCTTCTTGGAGTCACTCCTGTTGCCTGCCTCTTCCAAGTCACTGACTGTTTTCTCCCTGGGTGAAGATGTCTTCCTCCTGGGGAGACTTGTGCTCCCCAAGGATCACTACTAACTAGCTCCTCCTTGGAAATGGTTTCTTTTTCTTGGGTTTGAGGAAGGAGATAGATGGGGTCTCCCATTCTTCTCCTGAAGAAACTTCTGGGGTTTTTACTTTTGTGTCTTTTGGGTTTTTCACCCATCTCACTACCCTGGGGTTGAGGACTCCTGGGAGGCAGCCCAGGGCAGAACACACTTGCTGAGGGAATGGGTGTGGACAGGCGTGAACAAGTGTGAATGGGTATGATCAGATATGAATGGGTGTGAATGGGTATGAATAAATGTGAACAGGTGTGAACAGGAGCCACAATCAGCTTCCTGGGCTCTCAAGTAAGTTCTCTCAGCACCTCTCTCTTCCCCCACACTCCTTCAGAGTGCTACTAATGTTTCCCGAAGATGTGAGGACAAGCACAGTCATTTCTTTTCCTTCTTTGAGAGCTTCTCCTGTTTCTCTAACTTCCTTGTAATCTCCACACTGCTTCCACCCCCCGAACATTGCTTCCTTCAATGATATCCTCTATATATTTGATTACAGGTTCATTGTCAAACTCTGCTAGTAGCATGCACACTTCTAGAAAGCAAGGACCATCCTGCCTTGTACCCTCAGCACCTGGCACAGAGTCGAGACTTGAAAAACACCCACTGAACCAGGAAATGACAGAAGCAGAACTGCACGTTAAAGAGCATGCAAAATATCCAGGCTTCTGGTACACATGACCCAAGAGCAGGGCACGATATTCATGAAGTCTGGGACTCTCTTTTAAAGCTGCTGCTGACAGAAGAACCTGCAAGTCAGAGAGTGGGTGAGGGATAAGGGTGGAACAGGGACATTGCACACTCCTGCCTCGCCAGGTCCCTTCTGGGAGTACAAAACCGACATAGACAGCACTGACTTGGGCTTTCAGGGAGAGGGAAAAGGGGACAGAGAACGATTCAAATGTAACTGCATTCCTCAGCGCATGTGTAGATACACTTGAGCCTCCTGGCAATACATCTGCAATGTCCCTGAAGCCCAAGAGGGTTCCGGCACCAAGCAGCTCTGAGAGCCTCGTGGAGTCCTTCAGTCTCCTCCTCCACTGCCTTCACTCTCATTTCCTTCCTCATCCAGCTGAGATCCCAGGCTCAGCTCTCCAAGCAGGAAGCACCTCTGACTCCCTCCCTAGCTCTTCCATCATTTTCTCCCAGCACAGCCCTGACCTTGGTTAAACCCAGGCCTCTGCCCACACATCCCTGCCCCTAGCAACACCTGGCTGGAAACACGTATACACACACACACACACACACACACACACACACACACACACACACGTGTGGCATTCTCACTTTTTAAAAAACGTTTTAGAGTCATGGGGTTCATGATTCTAAAGATTTGCAACATAAGAATATTGCATGAAGGTGAGGTTTGGACTTCTGACAACCCGCCCCCCCCCCCCCAGTGGTGGAGATGGTACCAACAGGAGCTTTGGTATCCCTTATCCTCCCTCCTTCAGCAGTGCCCAGCATCTGTTGCTGCTGTCCTTGGGCCCGTGTGCCCAGTGTTTAGTGCCCACTTATAAGTGAGAACATGTGATATTTGGATTTTTGTTTCGTGATCATTCGCTTGGAATGATGATCTCCAACTGTATCCATGTTGCTGTAGAGGACATGATTTTGTTCTTGTTTATGGTTGCATAGTATTCCATTGTGCATATTACCACATTTTCTTTATCCAGTTCGCTTTTGATCGGCATCTGTGTCAGTTCCATATTTTGGATATTGTGGATTGTGCTGCAATAAACATACATGTGCAGGTGTATTTTGGGTTGTTTTTTTTAGAGCGATTTGTGTTCTTTTGGATATATTCCCAGAAGTAGGATTGCTGGGTCAAATGGGAGCTCTATTTTCAGTTCTTTGAGATATCTCTAATCTGCTTTCCATAAAGGCTGAACTAGCATATATTCCCACCAACAATGTAGAAGTGTTCCCTTCTCTTTACAGACTTGCTAACACTTGTGTTTCGACTTTTTAATGATAGCCATCCTAACTGGTGTGAGGTGGTATCTCACTGTAGCTTTGATTTGCATTTCTCTGATAATTAGTGATGCTGAGTATTTTTTCATGTCTGTTGGCTGCTTGTATGTCTTCCTTTGAGAAGCATCTGTTCATGTTTATGTCCTTTGCCCACTTTTTAATGAGGTTAATTGCTTTTTCAGGTCAATTCATTTGAGTTCCATATAGATCCTGGATGTTAGACCTTTGTCAGATGCATAGCCTGCAAATATTTTTTTCCTATTGTGTGTTGTCTCTTTGATCTCTTGATGGTTTCTTTTGCTATGCAAACACTTTTTAGCTTGATAAGGTCCCACCTGTCAATTTTAGTTTTTGCTGCATTTACTTTTGAAGAGGACTTGGCCATGAATTCATTGCCTAGGTTGATGTCCAGGAGTGTGTTTCCTAGGTTTTCTTCTAAGATTCTTTGTTTTTTTTTTGAGTTGGAGTCTCACTCCATCACCCAGGCTGGAGTGCAGTGGCATGCTCATGGCCACCTCAGTGTCGATCTGCTGGGCTCTGGTGTTCTTCTGCCTCAGCTTTCCAAGTAGCTGGAACTACAGGCGTGCACTACCACACCAGGCTAATTTTTTATTTATTGTAGAGACAAGACCTCACCAAGTTGCCCAGACTGGTCTCTAACCCGCAGGCTCAGGCAGTCTACTTACCTCGGCCTCCCAAAGTGCTGGAATTACAGGCTAAGCCACTGAGCCAGGCCTCTTCTAAGATTCTTATAGTTTGAGGTTTTACATTTAAGTTCTTGATCCATTTTTAGTTAATTTTTGTATATGGTGATAGGTAGGGGGTCAAGTTTTATTCTTCTGCATGTGGTTAGCACCATTTGCTTAATAGGGTTTCCTTTCCCAACGTTTGTCAGCTTTGTCAAAGATGAGTTGATTGAAAGTCTGTAAGTCTGTGGCTTTATTTCTTATCCTGTTCCATTGGTCTATGTGTGTATGTGGTTTTTTTGTTGTTGTTGTTGTTCCAGTACCATGCTGTTTTGTCTACTGTAGCCTTATAGTAAAGTTATTCTGGATGGGCTCCATTGTTTGGGATCTGAGAAGCTCCTTTGTGGGTGTCGATTTGTTAAGGCTTTGAGGATTGTCAGTATTTTTTGATTGTTTGGTTTTTGAGCCAGGGTCTTGTTCTGTCGCCCAGGCTGGAGTGCAGTAGCATGATCACAGCCCACCCCAGCCTCGACTTCCTGAGCTCAGTCTTCCAAGTAGCTGGAACTTAGTCTCACAAGTAGCTGGGATTACAGACACACGGCACAATGCCCAGCTCATTTTTTGTTTGTTTGTTTCTTGTAGAGACGAGGTCTTGCGATGCTGTCCAGGCTGGTCTCAAACTCCTGAACTTAATCAATCCTCCTGCTTCCGTCTCTCAAAGTGCTGGGATTAAGGCATGACCATAGTGTTTGTCGGTGTTTTTTCACTACTTCTTCCTCATCTGTGAGGATAGTCTCTTCTCTTTTTATGTTTTGCTGTTTTTTATTTGATAAAGTTGCTATTATTGGGATGACAATTTGTGTTGTTTTCTTACTTGACCGCCCTCCTCTGGTCCACCTGTGATATGGGGCAGAGTTGGCAGGGAGGGTGAGGTTTCCAAGCCGACCCCCACGGCACCAGGCTCACTCCTTTTAGGCTTCTCTGCTGAGAGCGGCAGCACTCACTGTCTCCTGTTGGCCACCTTCGAGACCACAGCCATTCTCACTTTTATACATGGCACCCAAATCTCAGGTGGGCCTCTATGCCCTGTGCACATCTCCCCAGTCCTCACCCTCTCCCTCTGCCTCCACAACCCTCTACTCCACTCACATCCCTGTCTTATACTTCACAGAGGACGTTGAGGCAGCTGGACTCCCTCGCTTCCTGTTCACCTGCAGGTCTATGGGAAGCCTCACCTTCTCTGGAGGCAGTGGACCAACCACCTGAAGCCCAGTCACCCTGCTTAAAGACTTTGTGCATCCAATCCCACCTCCCTCCTATACTGCAACCTCTCCCTCTACTGGATTGTTCCTGAAAGTCTACAAGATGCATGATATCCCTTCCAATATTTAAAACAAGCAACCCCTTCCTTGACCTCCAGCTATAGTGCCCAGCGTCCAGCAGGTGCTCAGAACACCTGTTGAGGATTGAATGGAGGGGCTGGAGTGCAGGCCTAGCCTACTTGGTACACCATACACAGCCCAGCGATAGGAAGACAACCCTTCATCCTCTTACAGTCCACGAGAAGCAGCAGGAAAGCCACTATGATGCCCATTCTATAGATAAGGAGACAGAGGCTCAGAGAGTTTGAACAACCTGCCTAAGGCCACAGAGCACACAAGAGCTGGACTTGTAGAATGTGAAACCTTGGTGGACCTTGGGAACCTTCTGGTCCAAATGCCCCGGTACAGACTAGAGACCAAAGCCCAGAGTCACCGATTCTGGCCTGTGCCCTCTCCACTCCACAGAGGGTCTCCTCCCTTGTCCTGGACATTTCTACTGATTCTGGAATGGAAAGAAAAGCACAGCCTCAGGCATGCAATAGGTGCTCAATAAATATGAGCGTCACGAGAAAGAACAGATGGGAGGGAGGGGCAGACATCCTCAACGCTCCCTCCAAGCATGGCTCATGGAAGAACTCCAGGGTTTCTTGGACTCTTGGAGGCGGTGGCAGGCAGAGCACCCAATGCAGCATCCACTAGGCTGCTAGAGGAGTCTAGGAGGAGGCAGATGACCCCATCCCCAGAGCAGATGCTCCATCTCTGGTACCTCAGGGGGCTGCCTGGAACCAGTGACGCCTCTCCCTGGAGACCACTAGGGGGCAGCAGCGCCCTGCTATCTGGACAACCCGGGTCTAGCCAGGCCAACCAGGTCTGGGGAAGACATTCCCATCGGGCTCCAGCGCAGTCCTCCTCTCTCCCCTTCAATCTGTAACCAAAGTCCACCAGTTGCTGTGTGAACCCATGCCCATCCTAAGCCCCAAAGTGTGACCTCTCTTGTTTCTGTGGGCCATGCTCAGCCATCCATCCCCAAAGGCCTCCTTCTCTCCAAAATGCCCAGGAGCTCGGCCCAGGGCTCCAGAGAAGGACCTGACACCCCAGCTCTGCCCCGGAGGCAGGTGCCAAGGCAGCACCAAGCAGCTCCCAGAGCCTCCAGGGCCCAGGGCGGTGTTCACCAGGGGTATCATTTAGCCTCTCCCCAAACAGCAGATACTTCCGCTAACCATAGACAGCACCCAGGGGCTCTTTGGTGTATTTCTCATGCCCCTCTCAGCCCAGAAGACTTCGAAGCACCCAGGCCCCAGTCCCTGAAGGCAACAGGGTCACCATCAGGAAAAGCCAGCGCTCTCGAGGGACTGTCAGTGTCACACTCCACCACCTTCCCAGGTCTCATGATGCAGCCTTCAACTGGCAAGGACCTCTCGAAACCAACAGAGCCTGGAGTCTCTCTGCCACATCTGGCTGTGGGCATCCCCTCAGGGGACCCACTCCACACCTGGAAATCAGGGTGTCACCTGCCCTGCTGCTTCCCATGAATGTCGGGAGGCACACACATTGGGGAACTCAGGTGCCCCAGGTAACAGCTTTTGCTGGGAGGCCAACACCACACCACCCGCTATCAGGTGGGCTGCTCTGCTCTCAGACATGGGAGCACAGAGTCCTCTCTGCTGACCACCTGCCACTGCACAGGCCATTCCCTTGGCCAGGAAGGCCCTTTCCGCTTCCATCAACCCACAGCCGCCCCTTCCTTAGGGCCGAGAGAGACTGCACTCCTGGAGATGCTCCCGCGCCCCCTCTGTTCTTGCCACGCAGGCGCTGACATGGCTTGGACTGCAGCTTGGAGTGGGAACCTGAGTTTCACTCCTGGCTCAGATTCCCCTTCGCTGTGTGGCCTTGGGCAAGTCATGGCATCTCCTTGAGCCTCAGCTTCCTCAGCTACAAAAGAGGGTCACAGGGCCAAGCCCAAGGTGGCAGCGAAGGTGGGGTGACGTCGCGTGCAGGTCTCACCTCCCGGATCAGCTGCTTTTCGGCTTCCATGTCATGCTGGGTCACAGCCGGGAGTGACAGCTTCTCCTCTCCCTGAGCAGGGGGTGCCTGACCGGACAGTAGGGCTGGGAGAGAAACAGAAATGGGCAGACGAGACAGTATGCACATGGTTTGCGGGAACTAAGCAGAAACCTGTAAGAAATGACCTCATGGTCACTCCAAAAAAGACCTTAAAACACTGGACTGATTTCAAACACATCCATGTGGAATACTAAGTGATCGGACAACAATAGGTATGGAGCACCTCAGTGTTCCAGACCCTGGGTAAGCAGCTCTGAACAAAGGTCCAACTCCACACCCAGCTTAAATCGGTGTGAAAGATCTCCAAGTCAAGGCAAGAAGAAAGCGGTGACCTGAGGGAAGTGAGGGAGACAGACGGCAGAGCTGGCTAGACTGGGAGCAGTGAGTGCAACGGCCCCGGGGCAGGCATGGGCCTGCCCAGCTCCAGGCACAGCCAGGAGGCCAGTGGCTGGAGTAGAGGGAAACAGAGCAGGTGGAAAGAGGTCAGAGAGGAAGCAGGCCAGGTTCCTTTGTCTTTACTCTGGGTTAGACTTGGCCATTGGCAGGTGTGTGAAGGGCAGTCAGAGTCCTGCATTTGGAGAGGATCTCCCCAGCTGCTGCAGGGTGAACACGCTGAGGGGGACCCTGACAGACCTGTTAGGGACCTGTAGCAACTTAGGGAGAGACGTGGGGGCTCAGGCCAGAGGGCAGCGGGGGATGGACTCAGCCAGGTTTTGAAGGCCGAGACAACAGGATCTGCGGACAGACTGGGTGTGGCTTTGAGAGAAGCCAAGCACTATCCCAAGGTTTCTGGTCTGAACACCTGGAAGGCCTGAGCTGCCATCAGCTGGTGGGCAAAGTTCTATGACTAGCAGATTCAGGGGCCTGTCGAGAGCTGACTGTGGGGTGTGTTGAGTTTGAAATGTTTATCAGACAGCTGCATATTCAAATCTGGGATTCAAAAGACACATTATGTTATGCTTTAAAAAAATTATTGGCCGAGTTCGGTGGCTCAGCCTCTAATCCCAGCACTTTGGGAGGCCGAGGCAAGGGGATTGCCTGAGCCTGCAGGCTTGTGACCAGCCCAAGCAACTTGGCAAGACCTCATCTCTACAATAAATCAAAAATTAGCCAGGTGTGGCAGCATGCTCCTGTAGTTCCAGCTACTTGAAAGGCTGAGGTGGAAGGATCGTTGGAGTCCAGCAGGTTGATACTGGGGTGGCCATGAATGTGCCACTGCACTCCAGCTTGGGTGACAGAGTGAGATTCCAACTCAAAAAAAAATTATCATTATTATTTTGAGAGAGGGTCTCTCTCTGTCACTCAGTCTGGAGTGCAATGGTGCAATAATAGCTCACCGTAGCCTCAAACTCTTTGGTTCAAGTGATCCTCCCGCCTCAGCCTCCTGAGTAGCTGGGACTACAGGCATGTGCTACCACACCTAATTTTTTAAAACTTTTTTTTTTGTTTGGAGATGAGGTTTCACTGTGTTGCCCACACTGGTCTCAAACTCCTGGCCTCAAGCAATCTTTGTGCCTCAGCCTTTCAAAGCACTGGGATGACAGGTGTGAGCCACTGAATCTGGCTATATTTTTTTCTATATTTTACGTAGATGTTTTGTCATCTTGAGGGACTTGCTGGCAAGGGGAGACTGCTCCTCCAGGGCTAGCTAATTCCTCCTAGACAGTAAACCAGTTGTCAGTGAGTCCATCTTTGACATATACACCAACTGGCCCAAGCCACATCACCAGCCACCTGCTTTATCTAACTCTCACACCCCAAGCCAAGATTTCCCTGCCCTCAACAAACTCAGATCGAGGCACCAGAAAACCAGGAATAGGCAGTAAAGCCCACCAGAATTATTCACACTGGCCAGTTCTGACCTGTCTCCCATGCCCTGCCATGTCTTTCCAGGGAAACCCCAAGAAAGGCTGGGGCCTAGGCCTTCCCTCACTCCCTGTTTCTAGGGAAGCTGTAATGTTAAACTTCCTTTTCAGTGGCACTGATCTCCTCATGCTGTCATTTAGTCACCTTCATGTTCTAAGTTTTTAAATTATTTTTAAAGTTGGGGGTAGCGAAGTGATAGCCTTTTTGGGGAACTCACGTTCAGAGAATCTCACAAGTTCACCTATGCCGTCGCCATCTTGCCCCGTCTCTTTCATGAATATTCTTACTAAATATTGTTTTTATATTCAGGGTCCTGAAATGTATAAATATGTAAAACATTTTATTTTGTTTTATTTTATTTTAGAGTTGTGGGGTACT